TTGGAGCGACTCGCTTTTCATTCGATGGAGTTCAATCGTTCCGTGGCTTTTGCTGCTTAGCTAGACACTGCCAATTTCACACACATATACACTCATATGTATGTGTGTAGTAATGTATTTTGCATGTGCGCTGCTTATAGACGGACACATGTGAATAAAGTTGTTCGAAATTGAGCTTTAGCCTTTGACTTACTTGCAAATTTAAAAAGTGTTCTTCGAAACGTAAATATCACTTTTATTGACGCACTGAGTTGGTTGACTTAGGCATTATACGATGTATACACGCATAGATGGACGARTGTTGAAATTAGTTTTGAATCCTGGTAATACCGTGGTTATTCTGTCATCCCAAATAAAGCATAGAATACAATTTGGAACTAACAAAATCAGCAAACGAAATCCATTCCAAATTCTTGCCAGCAGGGAAGTCTTTCTCTCGACGAACAAAGACAAGAAGAGTTGCAAGTTTTCGAGACAAAGATACTGCGAAAGACTCATGGTTTTTTACGCGTTTTCCACGGCGAATATCGCAGTACCGGGAAGCAGAGGAAGAGGAAGAGCTCCACTCCGTTGGAATGACCAGGTGGAGGAGGACCTGGCTTCGCTTGGAATCCAATCCAATTAGCGCCACTTTGAGAAAAGAAGAAACGCCTGGCGCGCTGTTGTTAACTCGGCTATAATCGCGTAAGCGGTGTCTGCGCCAGTAAAGAAGAAGAAGAAGACGAATTTAGTGACAGAAGATCCTTAGAATACAAGTTAAAATCTTTAACACAGACATTAGTGTTCCAGGTGCAAATGTTGCGAAGGAATCGGTTTGTGAATGTTTGTAGCTCCGATGACAGGGGCAGCGAGATTCCATGCTTCGCAGCCATATAGATGTGTGGACCTCACATTGGAGTTTAATTTTTCTATTTTATTTTTTTTTATTTATTTATTAAGTATATGAACATTACGACGGGTAATGTRCGAGGAGCTCCAGACCGCACTGAGAGCGCCGAAAGCTTGCTGACCTTCTTTTTACGGTTGATGATGTTTCCTTCCATCCTCCATATGCAGATACTGCTCTCTACCATCGACTTGGAATTCTAAATATATGTGATGTTGCCACGCATTTTCTTGGTTTTGACTTTATAAATTCCGAAACCTACTTCGCTGAGTATCTTGAACCATTACTAGTATTTTAACCATGTCAGCAAGAATCCGTCCATTTAGACCCCAAATAACCGAAATATATTACTAGTTTTTGTGGAACGGAGCAAGTAGCAAGCAAACTACCGTCCAATCTRTCAACAAACCGCCTCTGATTCAGATTAGAGTTATTCCTTTGGAATTTTGASCGAAAGCATAAAATCAAAATCCAAAATATACAGTTAAAAATGCCGTTTTTATTAAAATTTTAATAACAACATTTTCAAAATTGTAAGAACTTCAACATGCTTGTCTGCTGCCGAAGCGCTTTAGGCTAATGGCGCTTTCATGGTCGCCAGAGGAAAYTCTTCATACGCACCCTCCTCTTCGCACGGATAATTTATGTGGCTCCATTAAAAGTGCTGCAATATAGTACCAAAGTTGCACAGATGCAACATGCAACTCTATCTTGCTACACATGTATTTAATTTGTGTTGTGTAGAACATCCACAACATTAATGGCTGTTTGTAGGCATGAAAAGAGCTGCGTCTTCTGCGACCCCAAATCTAGCCACTACAGCAGGGACCCTCGGAGAATTGCGACACGACAGCTAGTTGCTAATTCTGAATACCTGTAATGACGTACAAGGTGTTATTTATGGCCTAATAAAGCACAAGCATGTGAAAAGGAAATGTTTACCAACGTCATAGTCGAAGAGGAACAACATTGTTTGTCAAAGCCATGAACAACAACGAATACGCAAGRGAGCAGTGGGCACTGATGGAGGAAAGTGAAGACAATATCTAGTCTGCAGTTAGGTTGTGTTTAAGTTAGAAGCTCTGATTTTATAGTGAATTCTGCACATTTAGCTGAAAGATGTGACTGTTTCTGCTGAAATTCTTTYGTYGGTTGAACTCGGTYCAMCATTTCTATWTRCTTCCACTTGTCGAATAAAGCCGAAGTGTCTCCTCACAGGTCAATTATTCGATTTCTATATCCTTACTCAATAAGTGAGAAAGTTTCCTAACAAAGACCCTAAAATCGATCTGCTCATACACTTTCCTATCGTATTTGAAAACTTTGACTTCATTTATATAATAGAAATATCTCTACGCTCTCGTATCTAAAYCTTCCGTTTTTTACCTACTGCCTGTTCTACGCAAAGCTGCACGATGCTGGGTTCTTGCAACCAGGCCTAACCTTCAGAATTGCAGAACAAAAATGAAATTGAGAAGAAATCGAAATGGAAATGAGTTGGAAGAAATATAAGATTATTTGCATATTTATGAGCAAATATAGAAACTATTGAATAAGATGAGGAACTAAAAGACACAGCTCGGCCGCGCAAATGCCATCGATACAGGTACGCCCGAAGCTGCGGTCAGCAATYTACCACAATGCAAAGGATGCCACCTCTGCCGGCTACACGACTTCCTGACTGGCATGCACTGCCAGCTGCTGCTGCAGGCACACGCAACCACAGCCTATACACCTCTTCACGTGCATGTGTGTKTTCATGTGAGTTCGTCTATTTTACGCTTTACGCACTTGGCACGGCTTCAGAGCCCTGTTCTTGCGAGCCGAAAGCGGTGTGTTGCAGCAACAGCACATGTGTCGTCATGTTGCGTTTTTATTGCGGTGGCAATGAATAACAAATACTATATATCGGACACGCCCTACCTGTGTCTTGCATTGCGGCGTGTTGTTGCAGGCTTTGTAGCCCAACACTGCTGACGCTCCTCGCCCGTCTCTTCACGCCACTAGCAAGCGATTTTATGTTGAGACAAATTAAAAATACGTAAATGYATGAGCTGATGGCAGCAAAGCGCTGGCAGTCGCTCCAGCACGTAAGCAATCAAACAAGGAGTAGTTGTAATTGCAGCTGAAAGCGTGGAGATTAATATGGATGTGTGTGTGTGCGAACGCGGAGCGTGTATTTCCGCCACTAATATGCAAATGTCTTGCCTGTTGAATATTCTCAATTGATTTCAATTTACTTTTTAGTTGCTTGCACAATTCACACARCGATGCTTGGGATGTTTGGGAYGATATTTGWACACGCAGTSKWATATACATATATATATATATATGTATGATTATATTTCTTATACATGTAGTATATTGTTACGCCAGATGCGTTGTTGTTCATCTGTTTGTGCTCGTAGCTGCATTTTATTGCATAATTTTCTACATTTTTATGAGCACATAACAAGGAGACCCATAAAATACGTCTGTTGCCCACGGGCCGCTGTGATGTAAGCCTTGTGCTCCGCCTGAGTAGTTTCAGCATAATTTTCATTCGATTGTTGTACTTTACTCAACGACTGGCCAGCCATAATTGAAGAATCACTAATTGCTAGGGAATGCATAAATTTAAGCTGCAGAGGATTTCCATGCCTTCCTCCCATATACTAATTTTTTATTAGGGTCGCTATAAGAATGATTTTTCGGTAATACAAATTCACAAAATGATATCTGTATGAAGCGATAGAGTCAAAGGAACTTCTCTTACATTCTGCATTCAAACTTTTTAGATACTCTCCAGCACACGAAGATAACAGGATAGTAAAAAAARCCTTAAACTTTCGTAGATCAACGGTTATACTATATATGAGAAAAATGTTGACCGAACATTTGGGCTTACGAAAGGTGTGTGCACGATTTGTTCCGCTCAAATTGCCTGACGACGAAAAACTGCTCAGAATCCAACATTCGAAAAACATCATTAAAGAAGTCAAAAATCACATTTCAACCATTAACCACTCCCCGTATTCATCAAGTGCATTTGCTCATGAAAGCAAAGCGTTATGCAGACGTAGAGGCAATTCAAAAGGCCTGCACCGGCATACTGGCGGCCATACCGGCCAACGAGCTAAAGCACTCGTTCGAAATGATTTTGGACCCTGCAAAAAGCTGTATTGAAGCAGAAGGAGKCCATTTTGAATAAAATAAATTGTTTTTGCCCAAAAAAAAAAACATTTTTTTTTGTGTGTTTTTTTTTGAAGTCCTCTTTTCTTTGGAACCTTGYATAACTCATAATCTAATCGAAATACTGGACACAATCATTCTCAAAATATGGAAAGGTAGAAATTTGTCCTCCAATTCTATTAACTAAATATAACTTCAATCACATCAAAGCACTGCGGTACACATTCTGGGGGAAAAATAATCAGAGAAATGTATACCTATTACACGCATATTGGTTAGTCGAAAAAGTCTTTTCGTATATCTAATCAAACAATCAGTTTAATATATTTTTAAYAATGAACWTGAACGAACAAAATATGTACCATTTTGGTCGACCACTTTTTGTCATTTTTYCGCCAGAGACATTATTATTCCATCAGGGTAAAACTTTTCTGATTTCTCGACGAAAAACTGCGTCAAGTAATTTTTACAGGCTTCTCGTAAAGCGAACTTTACTCCATTAAGGGAGTTCCGCATTGACCAAAACAAATTATAGTCCGATAGTGCAAGGTCTACGCTATATGGTGGATACATCAAAACTTCCCAGCCAAGCTCTTTCAGTTTTGCCAAGTCATSAAAGATATGTAAGGTCGAGTGTTGTCCTGATGAACGACGAAGCATTTTCTGTTGATCAGTCCTCGTCGTTTTCTCGATTGCTTGCTTCAAATTCACCTTTCTAACACTATGGGATGATACATTGTGATTGGTAGAACTGGAGATATACGTCTGACACGACATCTATTGACAAAATACGAAAAKACTTCTTCGACTACCATATAATAACACWTCCTCATTCAAAGCATATAAACCAAAAGTTGTGGCATCGAGTCCTGCCACAGGAATATTCTCTTTTTCTCGCTTATTCCGCATTTGAACTAATTATTCCTATTTTTATCTTTTACAGATATCAGCCTTAACCTAACCTGGCGTGTGGCACATAACCAGTTCGTTGTACCGATTACTTACGTACCACTGTACCTAGAATTTAGCGGCTGAGTGTATCGCGACGAAGCCGAATGCAGTATCTCACTTACGCACTGCAAACATCCTCACGTTTCCTCACAACGTCCGCACCCACAACCAACACAAACACCGCCTTCAACAACAATAACAACAACTACACTAACCCGCCCACAAACAGAGCGATCAGGGCACAATCCAACAACAACACAGACTTAAATTTTCCTAACCAAAATCCCAACAACAACAGCAATAATCGCCAACAGCCGAGAATCACCACGACGAACTACATCTCAGGCACTTCGCGTCGCAGTAGCAACAATTCAGCAGCGATAGCAGCCGCAACAACAAAAGTATCGTTTGCGCAGAGCGAAGTCATTCACAACTACCAAACAACATCCACCACAACAACACTACCATCAATTCATAGCACTTGTCACGAGTGCAGCTGCAGCGACGCAACAACATTCGGAACAACCAGCGCAGCAGAAGAAACAGCTGCCGCCGCGCCGCCAGCCGCAACAGTAGCGCCATCAGCGACAACGGTGCCGCAGCGCGAATGAAATTTACTCACGATTAATGTTAGCATTGCGCGCAACAAACTGCTTTCATTCTTCAATCGCGACATGGCCGCAACGGATGGCCAAATAATACTGGCCGCCTCCCGCTTCGGTGACACCGAACCGCCGGTGTACCTGCGCGAGTTCTCCAAACAGCGATTGCCCGCGGTCGCAAAAATYGTCAAGGGACAACATCAGAACCTTGGTGTGCCCACACTGTCRGCGCCCTCTCTTCAGAGTACGGCACTTTTCCTGAGCGCCGGCAAAAGGTATCAGATACTCGCACAGCCGATCAAAATCAAAGAGGGACGCAAGACGACAAATGTCGGTGCAAAGGTGCTCATACCGGAAACCTATCCCGGTTACTTTGAGCTACTCAGCGAAGATGGCCGTTCAACGCGTTGCATCGATTCGGTGCTCGAGCTTTCGAAGCGACGCAATTTACGCGTTCTCGTGCGTGAGACGTTCCGKTGCACSCAGATGAATCGCACCATTCACGCGGGCGAACTGCTGACRACGATGAACGACAATGGCAAGTACTTGCAATGCAAAAATATAAAAGACGAGATCATCAATTTGCCACTCGATACCAAAGCGAAATTCTCACCGATCGCCAAGGAGGACAGCATTAGCGGGGTGCATACGGTGAAGAATCTACTACTCAAACGGATGCCAGTCATTGTGAGGTAAGTCGTCTAGGAGTTTGAAATTAAAGATTTCTGAGAAATCACGGAACTTACTTTTRTAGACCTTAAATCATATAATCCTTTTGCGCTGCACCACAAACTCGAGTTCATTGAGGTTTGGTGTTCATTGAWTAGTATTCTTAATCTTTATGCTTACTTTTATTTACCGGTCTTTAAATATCTGACGGCGTTCTCCTATTCAAAGCAAATTATTTTAGACTCTGAACCCCCCAACGAAACTTGAGAGTTTTTCATAAACACAGTCCATAAAMTCCATCCAGTGGTGTAACGCAAATGTACTGTTATTGTAATATTAATTTATTTTCAGACTTGTCCATGGTAGTGCTCCYAAAGGTCTGAAGCAACCCTTCGTACCAGAGCTGCGTCTGCTCGGCTGTGTCGAAATCGATCGTATATTTGCGCTGCCCATGCAGAAGGATCACGATTTGGTGCCAGTACCGCTCAATGTAAAGATTAAGTTGCAGCGCGCACGCAACATGGAGCAGTTGGAGCACTTCATAGAGTATACCAGATTCCTCGAGAAGGCGCAGCGTCTGTTGTCGGATGCACGAGATCGCCTGCAAATAGTTGATCTTAAGTTGTCGGAGAAGGAGAAGAAAGACTCCAAGTTCAGTAGTCGCAACAAATTACCCGTGGTTATGTTGCCATCGGCCGCTGTCACCGGCGGTCTTATGGAGAACGGCTATGTGCTACGTAAGAGCGCCAGCTGTGATGCATATGGCAAGGGTATCGGTGGGGCAGGGGGGGTACTTACAAGCGCCGAAATCGCCGAAGAGTATAACGAAATCGATCACATTTACGATTACGTCCGCGGYTTGACGCCACTCTCCAAAGGGTTGTCGCGTTTTGAGCCGATCTGCGAAACGCCGACTATCAAGTCGCATCACACCGACAGTAGCGGCAATTATTGCAGTCTCATACGTGTGGGTGCGCACGCGAGCAACAGCAATAATAACAATAACAATAGCAACAGCTTAAATGCCAGCAGCGGCAGCAACATAAATCACAGCGGTGGCGGTGGCGGTGCCGGTGCCGGTAGCGGCAATAATCTTAACAGCAATAACAACAACTACAGTAGTTTAGAGTCAGTCAAGCAGACGACGAACACCAACACGAATAGCAGTCACAATAGCAGCAATCACAGCCACAATAACAATCACAACAACACTGGCGGCAGTGGCGGTAGTGTTGGTGGCAACCATCACCATCACCACCATCATCAGAGCCACAGYCATAGTCATCATCACAACCACCCACACCCACACCCACACCCGCACGCGCACCCACATGCCCATCAGCCAGGCAGTGGAGCCATGGTTAACCACTACCACCATAACCATGTTCAAGAGGACATCAAGCCAGTGCCACCGCCCATTGAAACTATACCGGGCAAGAAGTTGCCTGAAAAGCGGCAACGTCCCACATTACCAAAGCTTTATCTGAAGAACACGAACAGTGCGGGCACCACAGCAACTGCGGCCGCGGCGGCCAGTCATCATAATCAACATCATCACTCGGCGCAGACGCAACACGCTCACACTGGCAACTCGACAGCAGCAGTGGTGAATGCCACAGCGGCAGCGGTGGCAGCGCATCATGTCCATCATTACCACAGCAAAGTGCTGACACCTAGCAACAGTAATAACAACAGTGGTTCTCATGCCGCAAATGGACCACTTAGTGCCGGTATTATGGGGGCCAGTAAGGAATGCATTCTGGAGCCACAGTCACCACTCTTTCATATCAGGTAAAAAGGCGGAAAAGGCGGAGCCGAATGTACATTAAATAAATTAACTTTCATAAGAAACAAAGCTCCATGCTTTTTTATAAATATACATTAAGGCTCCCTCAGCGCATTAATCCAAACCCGAAAAACGTTTATTTTAACCCACAGGTACAAGAGCCTCAGCAGCTTGCAGTTGACGCCCGAAAACACCTCCATTGCCGTCACACCGATCTCAAGTAACCCCAAAGGTAATCAGTCAACCGCWATACCACCGGATGTGGTACTCAAATGCAACAGCATTCTCAACCACCAGTCGCATCACGCGCACAACCTACCACCACCGCCGCCGCCACCACTCAGCAAAAGCGCCAGCACTGCCGGCGGCTTAGCAGCTGTAGCCGGCCTCGGCATGGGCCTGGGTRTGGGTGTCATACACCATAATCCACGCGAAGGTACACTCGACTCGTCGCGCAGCGGCGGRCGKACCTCTGGCGATTCCAACAAGTTGCCCGAAAAGAAGACGCGTCGCCTGTCGCGTCCGCGTAGTCTATCGAATTTAGTCTGGGATCTGCGGCCATCCAAAGAGAAGTCAAAAAAGAAATTATATATACATCACTTCGATCACCGCCAACAGGCGACACTATATTTGTAGTCAGGTGGCGGGAGGGTTGCAGCGGTGCGCTACTGGAAAATGGCGGGACAAGTGGTCGAAGAAATTGCCATACATAGACTTTAAATAAGATCTTTCGTAGAAATATKGGGCATAGCTATTTTGAATACTTTAAGTTTGCGGTGGAATGAAGACAGTACCAATGAAAGATGAATGATGTTGCCATCACTTTAGAAACCTAAACAACCATTTGAACGGAATTTTAATGCATTATCTTAAGGTGAGTGGAATTCACGCGATTAATTTTTGAGCTTAGTATTAGAAGATAGGTAAGCCTTTAGGAAATAGTACCGCTGCTGCCAATTCGCACGGTTTTGCAGAAATCTTTTCTTTATTTACAGCAAATTTTCAGCTGTTATCCCTTCCCTTCCTTTCCCTTCATTTATYTTCTTACTGCCTTAGATAGTTGCCAAGTACCGTCCCATTAATTCTAAGTCTACCATTTACCTTATTGATTGGCTGTTRCTCCAGAGGGCACCCAAGTCATTAGAGGCTATTTAAATTAAGCAATCACAGCCAAGTCCTCTTCGAACACAAGACAAGAGACAATCACGCAAAGTAAATGAACGAGCGTGGCATTAGAGAAATGWGCGGAAAACAAATCAGTGCACTATTTGCTATAATTGAAGTAATATTGTTGCTGCAACATTTAGAGGAAAACAAATTGAATCGTGTCTGCAAGTCTCGATTTTCCATTTTCGCAGCRCAGTGACTGTCTGACGCCAACGCATCCTCCTATGCGGCGCGCCAGTCGGCRCCTTTCAATATTCGCTTTGATGACATTAGCCGTTGCTCCCAAAGTTTGTTCTGGCCTTTGCTGCTTTGCCAACATTGCACCTCGTTTGTTTGCCGTTTAGGCGAACACCTTCGTGTGCCGAGCTCAGAAGGATTTCAGTTCGGTTATATGTGCCATGCGTACTATAAAAGCAGCTTCAGAAACATTCCTCTTTCTGAGTAATTTCTGCTTACTATTTCCAATTGCGATTGTGTAATTTATCAGCTAATGAGYTCGTATACTCTCGTTTCGCTTTCCAGCTTTTGTTATGTACCCTAAGTGGAATAAAGGAAGGAGCTGTTCTTAGGCCTAGGTAGTTATTAAATATCGTAGTTAAGCTCAACAGATCTAAAACGTGGTACGGATAACGCGAAAAAGTTGCAGGCCTTACTGAGTCCTGATAAAACATGCGATTTCTGGTGGTTTTCAAGGCGTTTGAAAGAATATTGTCGCTGTAATTAGTATACATATATTTTTCTATATCTCAGCAGCTATACATAAACCATGGTTTTAGTAAAAAAGCTTTACTTTCATAGTAGTTGATATGAAAGTCCGATTTAGTATTTGACAGATAATATTTCAAATAGATATTTATAGAATTTGATTGAAATTCTTTTTTTTATTTCTTCTACTTTCAGCTTCTGATCCGATATCTTCGTCCAGTTAGAAACCACGATTGGAACACCAGCGCTAGTGTCAATTTCCGATCTTACGCGGAACCACTAAAAACTTTAAACGTCAAAGATGAAATGCACAAACCTAGAAATTAGACATTTAAACACATTTATTGAGAAATGGAGTAAGAAGAGAACAAATATCTTATAAACTTAGTAGAGAAAGCTTTAAAACTATTTTTTCTCAATTAATTAGATTGTGCCTTTTATTAGCAATTAAAATCCTTTTAAATAACAAATTTTAATAAAGTTAAAAGCTTATTGGAAATATTGTGGCAAGACCCCCAGCATACATTTGTATGTATGAACAATTAGTTAAGGTGTTTGGCTCACTTTTGGCACTTTCTTAAAGAAACTAATATACAAAAGCCAACTATTAAGTTTTTGAAACCCTCAAAACTACGAAAAAATATTTGAAAAATATAAAATTTTTGATATTTTTCCCAAAATATTTTTGATCATGTGAGATCCCAAAAAAATATTTAAAAAAACCAGAAACATAAGAGTTTGCAACAAACGCACAAAGAACGCCGAAAGGTGAAAACTGGAAGCAAAACAAGTCAGTGCTGTGCTGGCTTCGCACTGAATCTTGAGAAGATTCCTTGCGAGGCCCGCCCAGACACTAAGGGACGCCATAAGTAGATAACAAAGAAAACAATTAAACAATAAAATAAAAGTGAAAGTGGAAGTGGAAGCAGTCTGAGATAAACTGCATTGAATATGAGTTAAAGTAAACAAAATATGCAACAACAACACTTCAAGTCTTTAAAATTGTGATTTTAATTTTATGTCAAAAAAATGTACGTAGAAGCATGCGAGAGTGCGCAGAGTCGGCATTGGCGGATTTTGTTGTGTTCGAATCCGCGCGCGAGACCAGCCAGCCGGCGACGTTATAATAATCTATAAATTAAGTGCATCATCTTATTACATTTTACTTGTTTATTACTCATGCATACTTGCAGTCGCATTTGTGTCCCAGTAGTTTTATGTACGCTAAGTTAATTTACATTTTATATTTATACGTTAAATGCTTTTGTCAGTCACGTGTGCTTTTGAACAGTGCGGAGTCGGAGGCGCAAACTCCTCAGCATTTTCAAAAGTGATTAGTTTAATGAATAAAGAATTTATGCAAAACACAGGGCGGGAAGTGTGTGTGTGTGGGTATGTAGTAGCCGCTGAGCGTTGAGTAAGCGCACTCAGCTTCGACTCCCCACGGGCGCTGTCGGCTGCTGCACATTCAGCCGCACGGAACAACCAACAACGCAACTAACTTTTGCCTTGTGAATGTGCAGCGCTTAGGATAGACACACATGCACACATATTTGCTCAGACTCAGCTGTTCAATTGAATCCGCTACACATACCGTTATAACTTCAGCACGTTAAATAGTAGAATGAGAACAGTCAGAGCACTGATCGTTAGTAATTGATAGTTGTCTAGCTAAAGCTCAAAACTCAATTATTACAAATGTCGGCAAAACTAAAAATAGTTACAATAACAAAAACACACGAAAATAAACATAAATGAACAGCAAACCAACAACTACTGCCGCAAAAAGTGCAAGCGTTTTTAARCAAAAAATCGTAAAATAAATCAAGTTAAATTTAAATCCTACTCAAATATTACAACAACCACACACTCAGTTACATACTTACAGTTATGTAGCAAGTTAAGTAAATAATAAAGATATTAGTAGAGAATGCAAAAACACACAATTTCACTACAAAAACATTGGCTTACTAGACAACAAAGGCAAAATATTATTGCAAATGTCGAGAATTTTAAATTACAGCAAAAACAAGCGACATTCCGCAGGCCTCAAGTTGCATATAAATTACTATAGTACTTATATCTCAATACATAGCTTATATACATATATGTAAATGTTGCGTGTGTACATTTCGTCGATTGTTTCTTCATTTAGTTTAGTCTCTTTTAGTTTAGTTTTAAATAATGAATGAAACTTGTAACTGTATTAGTCGATAAATATGCATTTTAGTACTTTATGTCCAGTAAAGATTGTGTCGCGTAAATAAAAAATATATGAAAAATAAAATKTGTGTGTTTTAATTCCTTTTTTCGKTTTGGACTCACGGCTGCCAAGGGATGCGCCAAACGCTTCGGTTGTTCAGGAGGTAAGTTTAATTATTCTTCTTCTTCTTTACTGGCGTAGACACCGCTTACGCGGTTATAGCCGAGCTAACTACATCTCTCCAACGCAGTGGAACTCTTCCTTTTCCTCCGCTTTCCCCGGCGGGAACTGCGTTTTCGTCCTTTCTGGCGACATGACCTACGCTGGCTAACCTTTTTTTCGAAAACTCGTAACGTCGACTCATCAGGTTTTGTCATCGTCAATGCCTCTGCCCCATATAGGAGGATGGGAGTCATTATGACTGACTTATAGAGTTTGGTTTTTGCTCGTCGAGAGAGGACTTTCCATCTCAATTGCCTAATCAGTCCGAAGTAGCACCTGTTGCCAACAGTTATTCTACGTTGGTTTTCGATACTGACATTGTTGTTGGTGTTAATACTGTTTGCAAGATGAAGAGGTGGTGTGTGTCYATTATCTTTCCACGGGTCTTTACCAAGAATTGGCGCACGGCKAATATCTGGTCTGGTCTGGTCTGGGCTTCAACCTTTCACACAATACGTTTGCTAGAACCTTATACGCGATGTTTAGGAGACTGATCCCTCAGTAATGGGCGCAGATTGTGAGACCTCCCTTTTTCCGGATAGGGAAAGGCACACTTAAAATTCAATCGTTGGGCATGCTTTCGTTCGTCCATATTTTACAAAGAAGCTGATGTATGCTCCTTATCAGTTCTTCGCCACCGTAYTTGAATAGCTCGGCCTTCTTCATCATCGATTGAGGAATCGGGTTCGCCTTCTCCTGGCGTTATGCTTTCATTGCCATTCAGCAGGCAGGAGAAGTGTTCCCTCTATTATTTTAGTATGCTCAGGGCTCAGGTTAYTATATCACCTCGGGGGGTTCTGCAAAAGTATGCTCCGATCTTGAAACCTTCTATTAGTCGTCATTTCTCTTTTTCTGTCTGCAAATGCGTCTCGATTGCCTTTTCATCTCTCATTATTTATCCCATCTCGCACGTGTTGTGGTCGATCGTAACGTTGCGACAACGCACTCCTCATCGTCCAGCTGTCCTTTTGCATTTCCCGAAAACCAATTGTTTCTGTTTCAGCTGTACGGAAGGAGCTTGAAACGCCGTTGTGATCCTTTACATTATGAAAAATTATAACTGAAAAGYTAGATGTGTGCAAAAGMAACAAAAATAAAAACAAAAACATTATAGCAATGTTGTTATTGCTAAAATGTGAATAAAAGAGACATTGTTTTGTGCACGTCGGTTACGAGTTCTAGCATTAGAGAGGGAAATAAGGGAACTTTAAAGTTGTCAACGGCACTTCTTGCACTTAATGGAGCACTAAGATCTATGGTCTTTCTTGAAAAATCGAAATATGTTCCTAACTGGGCTGGAAGATCGAGTAAATAAAAAGTTTCAGCTCTGAMCACGTCTCTATAGAAAATATTCAAGCCTCCGTCATCCGATTTTAACAGAGCAAAGCTTGGCTCTCTCCCCTGGTTCAAAGATAAAATAGAAATGCACTTGAAATCAGTGCGAAACAAGCGAGTAACTGCTCGGCTCTGCCGAAATACTAAAATAATCGCAAAGTAAGGCGTTATTATGCGCAACTGACTTCCACTAATTCGTCTCCTCTACTCATTCCTCTCCTAGGCAGGCCAGGCACTTAAGTTACAAATTGCTATAACTTGGCTTTCCTGCTGTGAATATCCGCAGCTATAATATGAAAACGTCAAGCCAGAAGAAGAAAATCCAACAGCTTAGCGGCACAGTCAATGTCACCGCGCCGACTAAATAAAGCAATTTTCCGCATTACAGTAAATCTGTGCAACACACGCATATATCTCCATTACACCATTCCGCATTTGCACTAGGCTTCTTTATATCTATATGTATATATAGTGTACCGATATAAGTAGATATGTGCGTGTGTCTGTGCCTTCAAGTCAGAAGCGTGCATTTGCTTGTGGATATTCTAAGCACACACAGCTGCCCACAAACACTCGCCCAGCCCGTGCARTCCGTTAGAGAATTAATAAAACTTTAGCCTCAACCAAATTTGGCTTAAACGTTTTTCGCCAAAAACACAACGAASGCACACAAACAAATTGCACTGTTCGCTTTGTTGTTATTGCCGTTGTCATACAAATTTGGTTGCTGTTGTTGCTAGATATGTTGAGAATAAAAATAAAAAACAACAACTGCAGTCGCAATTGCAATTAACACGCGCCGCTCGACGCGCATGCGCCGCTAGTCGTTCGCCACCTGACAAAGGCAAACCGACAAAAACAAAATCAAATTGAAAAAACAACTGTAAAATCATGAAAAATAAAACTCCGCTTCTAGCGGGAAYTTGTTTAACGCGCGCTGACGCTGCCGCTGACATGGAAGCTTATTTGGTGTGGCGCGCGTTTTGAGGTGTTGAACGGCGAAAAGTCCCACAAGCGAACGCGGTATGCGGCGTTAAATTAGGGAAACGCTGAGCTCGAGCAAAAATCTGAGGAAAACATTTARTTGCCGCTTTTTATGCGGTAATTATTTGTATTATTGTTGTTTCATTCACATACACACACAMACGCGCACATTAATATRTACGAGCAACAGTATTGCATTACAAATAGACTTTTCCATTTTCGTTTTCGCCCCGGGCCTTTCCATGCCATTTTYTATTTCTGCTCAGTGTTGCACTTGCCGCTTTGACCGCCCCCAGCGGCTCTTGCAGCTCTACAAGGCATGCGTCCAACGCTTTTGTTAGAGCATAGTTTAAGACGAGTAAACACGTTTGGAGAAGCATGGAATTGCTTGCTGYTTCACCCGCTTAACCATGACTGCCGAATYTRTTCAAATAATAYGGTGACATAGCATRTATTATGCATATATGTATATATAGTATATCATTGCGACTTGGAAGCTGTGAAATCGAAGAAAATTTTAAATTAAGATCGATTTTTCCGTTTTTCTGAATAAAAACATGCCGAAGAATAACATAAGCTCCAATTTGAATAATTTATTTGTTGTAATGGTCCTCCAAGACATGGATATCCGTTTGTTTCTATCCGCATTTGAGTTAAATATTTGTCCAGCGAGCCACTTTTTGAATTTTGTAAAGAGTAAATTGTATGTGGAAGCAAATCGTGCGCATATGGAATGAGTGATAATGTTCCCAAAACCAAAACCTCATGGTTAAGATGAGATTTAGGGTTCATAAAAATTTGTTCGTTGGTGCATTTTAATATTCTACAGATCATTTGCCGGAATCGATCAGATCGGACAACTGTATCATAAATCTCCATGCAACCGACTATTCAAGTTAAGAATCTGTGGCTTGACACCATAAGCTCTCAGGCAAAGTTATTTAGACTGTAGAACATTTTCCGCATACCGACCCGTAGAGTATTAAGTTTTTAAAGAAAAAACACAAAATCTACACATTTAATTGCGAATGTTTATTATCATTCGAAAGAACTTTCTTTGRTAATTACCTTTTGAAGATCATCTCATTCAAATGTTAGCCGCGGCTACGTCTCAGATCTTCCAGCCGTTGAGTCCAATTTTCGATGTCTCGTTSGAGCGTTTCGACTGGTAATTGGCGAATGCAACGCGTTATGTTTTGTTCCATAGCTGGATTGTCCGCATAGACTTAATACTTTACCTATACACACAGGAAAGAGTCTAACAGTGTGATATCACACGATTTTGATTGCCAGTCGAYCGGCCCAAAACGTGAAATTATCTKCTCACTTAAGAGTTCTCTCAATAAATCCATTGCTGGATGCCATGTGTGGCAATATTCTTGAAACCAAATGTCGCCGCGATCACGAACATCAATTTCAGGCATCAAATAGTCAGTTATCATGGCGCGATAATGATCGCCATTAACGGTTACGTTTTCATCGTCATCCTTTTTGTAGAAGTATGGACCGASGATTCCACCGGCCTACAAACCACACCACACAGTTGTTTTCTCTGGCTGAAAAGGCAGTTCTACTTTGCTTGTTTACATACCCATTGAGCCAGGAATGAATATCGTGGTTAAACAAAAATCCAAAATGGCGGAAGTTGTATTTTGTACGCTTTCAATTTAAGATATCGGCACAAAATGCGTCAAGTCGTTCCATACGTCAGMCCGAGTTGCTGCGAACGGCTCTTCTTCACCGCGTGCTGGCCGTGGTCTATTCTGTCGAATATTAATCAATAATTAATGTTGTGCCTCAAAATGGAAGATGATGTTGCGAATAGTACGCTCAGAAGGCTGACTATGTTGACCATAAGTTGGGCGAAGCAAATGTACAGAACRTGAATTTTCGTAATAAATTGAACGATTTGTAAACGTTGTTCRGACGTAAGTCTTTTCATGRTAAAATAACAAATAATACTGGACAAAMATAACATGACAGTTTGACACGACTCACGCGTGATCTGTTAA